AACAACAACAAATTTGTCTATTTTTCAGAAAGGGTTGCTTGGTCCTTAAGATTTTCATTTTCTTTACCCCTCGGGGTTAACTAGGCCTCCCTCCAGCCGTCCGGATCCGCCCCCGTCACTGACTAATGAGGACTACAAATCCCAGGCTTACGGAGGAGGTAACCGCACATGCGGACTGACCATCTACGCCTACATTTCCCAGTGGGCCGAGCGCTTCCGCCAACGCGCGCGTGCGCTCTCCCGTTCTTTCTTCTTCGGGTTCAGGTTTGACCTACAGCGGGGCCAGGAGAAGATGGCTGGCCCAGGAATGACCGGGCTCTCCCGTCAGGTGAGCCAGCAAAGGTCTGAAAGCGAACAGGAAGGTCCCTGACGGGTGAGATCCACACCAGACTCCTTGCATCAGAGTGCGAGGCCACCCTGGGAAGCATGGCCGCCGTTCAAGGTCGTGGGACTCCAGGGAAGCGGCGGGGCGCCCCCTGCTCCCTCGGGACGCCCGCGGGGCGGGGGATGTGGGGTGACCTTGAGTCCGCCGAGCTCAGCCGCGCGCAGCAGCTGGCTTAAAGGGTACAAAAAAAGAGGGTAGCCGGACTAACCTGGACTCCGAAAAAGAGCATGCCCACCCCCCTGACATTCTTTGCTGTTGTGATAACATTGTTGTCGGGAGTTGGTGCACGTTTTAGGAATGTGTGTCATGACTGACTACATAATATTTTTATAGAGTTAAAAAGCGTTCGTCTGCACAGCTGATTGTCATAGTACATTCCAGAGCTAGGGATATTTGAAGATGACCTGTGCCCTTGCAGACGCTAATTCTTTTAAACTATATATTCCAATTTTGCCCTTTGAAACTAACAAGAACAAGCCCTGGAGATTGCAACAAACTTCAGTTTCCGAACTAGAGCCTACTCTCGATCAAACTGTTTACTTAAGTACTGAGTTTTTAATTTACAATACCCTTTGGATCCCTCAAAAGATACATTTCTTGGAAATCATGACTGGAGGCTCAAACACGGACAGATTTTCCAGTTTTGTTAAAATTTGTCAAAGAAAGTGGTTTTATACCAGAAACCTTGCTTAAGAAATTTTTGATTAATAAAGTTAGTGTTTTCTTATATTTAGGTGCTATTTCATCCCATTCTCAGCAAATTAGGAAGTTAATCGGAACATGATTTTCCCAAAAATTTTCATCTGAACTGATGATTCTCACTGAGAAAATTTACTCCTGGCTTATTAGTAAAGAACAGCTCACCCTTCTGTAATCGTATGTGATGGTACAAGGAAACATTGAAGACTAATCATTTAAAAGTCATACTTAAAGTTTTATCATTGGTTTAAATGTAGAGATCCTTCAGGTAATCTAATTTGGTCTTTTGTGTTTTGAAGGTGCGGTGCTTCAGTACATCTGTGGTCAGGCCATTTTCCAAGCTTGTGAGGGTATGTTAATTTCCATATTGTTATAATTGGAAAGTAGATAAAAGTGATTTCAAAAGCCAGTACAGTTAGGGTATGAACAGTGTTGTTACTGTTTAAACCTTTTCTTCCCCCCCCCCCCCCCAAAAAAATAAGTACAAGTGATGGGAGGAGGCTGAATACTTGGCATGTGACAGGTGACTTTTAGCTATAGACGTTTACTTCTCAGAATGTTTGTACCAACTCATAGCTGACCCTCGCATAGAAGGAATGTGCCCATCTTTCTCCCTCAGAGCAGCTGGTGGATACAAATCTCCACACGTGCCTTTTCATTGCCAGCACAGCTCCTTACCAGAGGTCCCTAGTTCTCAGAATAGTGATGGAGAATAGCTGTTACTCCATTTTACAAAAGGAGAAACAGAACTGAGGCTTTGAAGGGAAAACTTGAATGGAACAGAAATCTCATTCAAAGCCTGAAATTTTTCTGCTGCAGTGTATGGCACCAGTAGGCATTTCCATTCTTAACTGGTGGTGCTTATGTGCCATCAGGTTGGAACCGAGGCATAGCTGACCCTCCAGTGAGTTTTCAGAGGCAGGTCATTGCCCATTCTTCTTCCATGAAGCAGCTTGTAGATTTGCACTGCCTGCCTTTGAGATTGGAGTACAGTTTCTTACCACTAGTCCACCATAGAAAAAAGCTACAGTTTTGTGACAATAATTCAAGCATTAGGCACTGAGTAAATATAAAGAGCTTCTTTAAGGTAAACATTGATGAGGAGGCTCTGTAAGTAGAAATAAATATGTAAAACTGACTTTATATTTCATAACAAATGTTTTCAAAACTCTAACATGCCTAGAGCTGCCCCTCAATCAGTGTTGAAAATTTTCATGTTTGAGACATAATAGTTACACATCTCAAAGCAGTTGCATTCTAGCAAGTTACAGATAGAAAAGATACTAGACACGCCGTCATTTCACTTCATTTTACTGATGAGTTAGAGGCTCAAAGATTGAGAGGCCTGGCCAACAAGGCATTCCAAATTTGGGGCTTGCCATTTTGTGACAGCTCTTTGATAACATATTTAAACTGTTTTGTGCAAAAAAAGTGTATGTTAAAAATAATAAACATCTAGGGGAGCTCTGGTGGCCTAGTGGCAAGAAGCTGCAACTACAATCCCAGAGGTGCATGGTTCGAATCCATCAGATGCTCTGCCGGGGAAGGAGGGGCAATCTCCTCCTGTACCAGTCAGATCTGATTTGACGGTACACGCACATAAAAATAATAAAATAAAAAAAATAAATAAATAAACTAATAAACATCTGAGTCTCCCATTGACAGTAGTAACATAGTGTTTTAAATGGTTTTCTTTTTATCCTCTTTTTTAAGCCACCTATTCAGATATATGGTGTTGAAGGCCGCTATGCCACTGCTCTTTATTCTGCTGCATCTAAACAGAATAAACTGGATCAAGTAGAAAAGGAGTTAATGAGAGTAGCAGTAAGTAGCTTTCTTCTTCATTAGATTTGACTTTGCTTTTTGTGTTATTTTACCGTTAGTTACTGAATGTGCATCATTAGAGCAGAGGATGGAGACTTTACAAAACATTAAAGCATTTTCTGAGAGAAAGTTTTGTGAAACTGTGTGTATCTACTAACAAACTAAACATGTATGTGGATATTCATTTTAGGAACCAAGATTTCAGGTAAGAGGAGCTACAAATTTAAAATCAAAACATAAAATGGTAATTTAAGAAGAATTGCATTTTGGAAGAAAATTTAGAATGTTACCTTTGAAAATCTGTTCTGTAGTGTGTTACACATAGCTTCTTGTTACCTTGTGTACAAATCAGAGAGAATTTAGGATTAGGTGAAGAAACAGAAGGTGATTAAAACAGTGGCAAGTTAGCAGGTAGATGTACAGGATGAAGGGCAAGGCAAAGTTCAGTGACAATTTAATGAGATGTTTTATAAATCACATTGGTTCCTTTTAATTCATGTTATAAAACAAAATTTATATGATTGAGTAAATTAAAAGACCACATTTTTTTTTAAAAGACCACCCATGGACTACAATTAAAGATGCCCAAGTAGAAATAGTCATTGGTTTGTGCAAGTGTGTAACCCTGGCCTGATAGTAGGAGCACCACTAAGCAGTGTTTTGTGCTGAATGTGTACATGTTTAATTGAACAAAATGGAGACAAAGTATCTCTGTCTCTCACCATGCTGCCTTTGTTAGTTGCCTTCTAGTCCATTCTGGTTTATGGTGTCTGTCTGTCTTTCATCATGCTGCCTTTGTTAGTTGCCTTCTAATCCATTCTGGTTCATGGTGACTTTGTAGGCAAAGTGTCACTGCTCCAGAAGGTGCCTTGCAGAAGTATATCACCAATTCTGTCTTCTAAGGTGCCTCCATGTGGGTTTGAGCAGCCAACCTCTCAGCTGGTACTTAGCCATTTGTACCACCTAAGGACTCCTGAATCATCCAGGCCACGCTGGAAGCACCATAGTTATCTTACGTGTTAGGGCTGGGTTGGTACTTCAGAGCTTTATAGAGGGCAGAATGGAATTAGAAGATCTGCCTGGAACAGAGAGGCCTCTCTCCAGGGAATGGCAGGGAAGGTCAGCTTTGCAATCATAGCACCTTTTTGAGGCCTGCACTTGGGTGCTTGCACTTCCAGATCCTCTTGATAGATGAAAAACTAGCACATTACCCGTACTAACACATGTATGCACATTTGGATTAGGTTGACTCTTTTGACCTTTGTGACCTGCTCAAGTGGGGTTTTTTAATGCTTTGTTTTCTGTAAGCTTTCTTGAAATGCAAAAATAAATTTTAAAAATGACATAACAGGTTTTCATTTTTTTCCAAAAACTATCTAAAATGGTAAAGTCTTCTCTTAAAGGCAGAAAAATTTGCTTATGCCAATATGTGCTAATTTAATCCATGATATATACATATTAATGCTCTAAGGAGTTTAAGAAATACCTTTTTTTTTCCTTCTGTAATTTTAGCAACTTCTGAAGGATCCCAAAGTGTCTCTTGCTATTCTGAATCCTCACATGAAGCGGTCTATTAAGGTGAAAACCCTAAATGACATCACAGCAAAAGAGAGGTTTACTCCACTCACATCCAACCTGATCAGTAAGTACAAGTACTTTTTCATTTTGAGTCTCTTGAAGCTTTGCTACTTGAAATGCGAATTCTGATAGTATCATGTTATCTCGATACTTGCATCAGGACTCACTCAATGTGCTGAAAACCAAGATCTACCTCTTGACTAGATCTTCAAATATATTTTGTCACATTAAAGCTTGGGGAGCTCTGTCTAAAGGATGTAAGAATGTTTTAGTTTCTCATTTCCACCCATACAGACCAATGGGATCCATGCCAAGAAAATGTTTTTGCACAATAGCTGCCCTTCAGACCCTGAAGACATTGGCATCCTTTGGTATAACAACAGAACATTCGGATTGTTTTTCAGATACCCATGGCCTATTCAAAATTATAAGTTAAAAAAAAATGCACTTACTCATTACCCTTGAAAGTGGACTGTGTTCATTTGGGGACCCATTGGCATGTGTGACAGAAGTGTGGAGATTAGATTGCAAATGAGTACTTCTCTGTTATCTATAGTCACTGATTTAAATCTTTGTCAATGTGACAGATGTGTTTTCCAGTCATTGGTTATACTTTTTCAATAACAAATGTTCCTCCTTCATATTCCTAAGGACGTTAGTGTGGTGGTTTAAGGGCATTGAGTCTAAGCTAGCATTTTGAGTGAATGTGATTGCACAGGATCAGCCTTTTTGTATTAGTTTCGTGTTACTGAAAGACTAACTTTACCAGATCTACTTGCTGAGAATGGTCGCTTGAACAATACACCTGGAGTCATTTCTGCCTTTTCCACTATCATGAGTGTCCACCGTGGAGAAGTTCCTTGCACAGTTACCACTGCGTCTGTAAGTACACGTTTTGCTGCCATGTTTGTCTTGATGTTGTGTGCATCCCACTACAGAAAGGGGGTGGTGGTGAGGGGACTAAGAGAGGATAGGCTCAAAATCAAGAAATTGGGTTGGTGGCCTGTTGATCTCTTGAGATCCCGGTATCATTCTTGTCCCACCTTCTGTGAGCCTCTGCTCTGGAAGGTTCAGGGTATGTCTTTTGACACTTCTATAATCTAGAGTTACTCATAAGAACTATGGAGTGGTTGAAAATGTAAAGAACATTAAAATGTGTTCCAAAGTAGTGGTTTGTTCTCCATTACAGGTTTGCGTTATTTTGTAGTATAAATGTTACATTAAGCTGTTGACCGAAACTGATTTTTAGTCTTTCTTCTGTGATGGTGAATGGTTTGTTCCTCTCTCTGACCTTTGTGACCTGCTGAAGTGGGCTTTAAGAGAACCATTTTTTTAAACCCTACTAAATTCATTATTCATGGTGACTTCACTTTCTGGTGTGATCTTAATTCAATATTTTAACCAGTGCCATTTATTATGACATCAGAGCTTCACTGTACTTTGCCCTAGTGCCTGGGCACTTTCATTAAAATGAAAGAACTACTTCTGAGGTCTCTAACCTTGGAATCTTAGCCAACAGCATTGTGCGTGAACATCAGATTTAACCACAACCACCATCCCCAAAAGAACCATTATTAGATCTTTATAAGGCTATAAACACTTGTTAGCTTTTTATATTCTTGGACAAGAGATGGGGAGGATGAATTTGTAATAGATAAAGTGCTTCTTCTATACCTGCCCTTTTCATGATCTCACCTAACCAGGAAAATGAGAAGGGTGGTGGGGGATGCAGTCTGAGCATTAAATGAGTGGCTTGCTTTACACTTTATACAAGCAGGTGGCAGGGTGCTGCTTCAGGAGCAAGTCAGCTCCCTAAGCTTGCAGGTAGAAGGGTTTCACATGAAGGAGCTCTAGGGAACTGGATCTGGTGAGACATACAGTTGATAGAGGTGGTAGAACTAGGTTAAACTGCAGCTTTTTTTAAAAGCTTCTTTCTCCTTAAAGGAGATAGCAAATTCAGAGTTAGAACTACATGAACTGCAGGGGTGGAAGTAGGGTACTATCTCCTGCTGTGGGGATTTCTCCCTCTTTATCATTTCCACGTTATACTGCTAGTGTCACGGAGCAGAGACAAGCGGGGTTTGCATCTATGGGCAGTGGGTGCATTGCTGCAGTGAGGGTGCCCTCCCCACAGCCTTGAGGAATAAATGTAGCCATGACCATGAGTTATGCAGACTAAACACAGGAACTCATTAAATCTGTCTGGTGATAATTTCCAGGGGTGTATTTTATTTTATTGGAAAATTTCTCTTTTGATTTACCTAAATCCTTTTTTATCTATTCTTAGCCCTTAGACAGCACCTCTCTCTCTGAATTAAAAACAGTCCTGAACAGTTTCCTAAGTCAAGGCCAAGTGTTGAAATTGGAGGTTAAGGTAGGTTTTTAAAGGTTTTCCATTTTTCCATATTTGAAAGTTAGAATGATTATAGAACATATTGAGGAGAATTTAGATCTGATAGTGTGCTAGTTTGTATTTCTTTTATAGAAATTTGTATCGTTTTTTATTTAAATGATTACTTGATTCCATTCATAATTTTCACTCATTCTTTTTTTCCTAAATAAAGCTATGTTTACATTTGTGCAACACATTTAGACTTTCAAAGCAAATGTCACCTGTTCATTGGAGTAGTGAGATAATATCATTGTGTTTTCACATTATTTTCCTTCCCAGACTGATCCATCTATCATGGGTGGAATGATTGTCCGTATTGGAGAAAAATACGTTGACATGTCTGCAAAATCCAAGATCCAGAAGCTGAGCAGAGTCATGCGGGAGGTTATATGAAAATGTTGATGTTCTGTCAAGAGTGCATAAACCTGGAGTATCAATAAAATGTTGACCTGACAATTTTTAAAGTGGAAATACAGTGAACCATATGTCTGTCTGTATGTCTGTCTGTCTGTATCCTCCTAATCCAATGAGTTAAAAACCCCTTTTGACTGATGAAATTGTTTTGTGTATATTGAGAATTTATGGAAACTTGTGTGTGTTGAGAAGAATATTCTTTGTTGAGCCCTGCTCATATTTCAGGCACTGTCAGGTGCTGCACGTGTCTTACTGTATTCATTCAGGACAGAGCTTGGAGAATTGCTCAGCCTGCAGATGGAGTAAAGGCTCCAGGGAACCAGGTAGGTCATCAACTTCCAGCTTGCTCAACTAGTGCTCAGAGTGGTTCTTGGTTCCCCAGGACTCAGACTGGCCAGGCTTTAGCGGCAGTTTGATGCCCATTGGTCCTCCTCATTTCCTAAGACTTTGCTAGCCAACCAGTAGGCCGGGGAACAACAGATCTGATGGCTATCGCACTATATCTCTCTATAAGACTAAACATGTAACTTTACAACCACAGTGAATATGTTATTTCATTCAAATAGTGAGTAACCCTTTCCATTCCAGACTGACTACATACAGAGAAGTCCAGTGGAGGGTAAGGATCACTTGATAGAACCATTCAGAGTCACAGTACCTGTTACAGGCCAGGCACTGCAGTGAAGACTATACCCTCAGTGATTAGAAATCAGGCATTACAGTTGAGTATGTGTCTTAGAATCAGTGGCTTGGTGTATAAGACCAGACCCCTGACATCTTCAGGTCTTGATCATCTTACCTGTAGTTGGAAGAGAACTTCATTTTATGGTCTGAATTACATCTCCCAAAGCAGGGCTTAGTGGTAAAGAATTGAGACACCACCTCAAAGGCATGTGGTTCAAATCCACTGCAGCTCCATGGGAGAAGGATGGTGAATCTCCATGCATTTGGCTACTTCTGAAAACCTACTGGAGGGTCAGCTGAGGTACACACAAAGCAATAATCTCATACCTGCAGTTAGAATCCCATCTGGTAATGAGTTTTCTTGTGTTGATAAGAAAGAGTTGGTATAAGCTGTTCTTTGAGGTCTAAAAGGTGAAGGAAAGGCTAGGGAGGAGCAATGCAAACCACCTGAAGATCTTTTAAGAGCAGAAGTTTAAAAGCTGGGGCTTACCTCTAGTGTCAGCACCCTGAATTCAGTCTTCTCATCTTTTAATAGTTTGTTAAAGCTGCCCTCCTGTGGTATTTTTCTTGCAGTTGTTTTTGTTGGGTGTCATAGAGTCAAGCACACCTCATAGTGTCCCTGAGAACCATCCCTGTCCTGTCCTGTGCCATCCTCACAGTCTCTGACACGCTCAAGCCCATTGCCGTAGTCATGTCTGCCCACCCTGCAGAGGGTCTTCCTCTCTTTGGCCCATCTACTGTGGATTCGGACAGCCTGACTTGGTGTTAGCAGCACAATTCCTGACCACTCGCCACCAGAGCTCTGTTAGAGTAGCTCTAGATGATAACTAAGTAGTAGTCAGTAATCAAATCAATACAGAGCCTACGTATATAAAGTAGTGGTTACTTGGTTGACCACATTTCATTTCTCTGGGCCATCTGATCACAAGAATTGACAGATTAAACACATAGTTGGTACATAGCAGTTGGTCAACAGAGGCCTGAGGTATTCCCTGCCAAAATCTTCATGTCTTCAAGGGGTAGTTCCTTGATCCCTAGTGGGTCGTTAGGGAGGTCTCTATTTTGGGCATGTTACAAGGAGGGACTGGTCCTTGGAGAGGGACATCATGTTTGGCAGAGTGGAGGGGCGGCGAAGGAGAGGAAGACCTTTGGTGAGATGGATCAATTCTGTGACCGGAGTGGTGGGAATAAGTGCGTTTGAGATGGCTAGGTTGGCACAGGATAGAACAGCATTTAGAGTTCTTGTACATAGGGTCGCTATGAGTTGCAAGTGACTCGATGGCACATAACAACAACTAGTACAGTGGTTAAGTGCTCCTGCCAACGTACTAATTGAGTGCTTTGAACCCTCCACCTGTCCTGCAGGAGGCAATGTAGCAGTCTGCTTCCATGAGGTTATAAACTCAGTCCTACCTTTTAGGGTAGTTAGGAGACAGGAGTAGTGTGTCTTTTATACTCAAACTCGGCTGTTGTCTTCAGACCCTGAGTGACCTTCCATTCAATTTCAAGGCTGACATTGTAATAGGAGGAGATTGCCCATTTTTTCCCCCTTGAGAAGCTGGTGGATTTGAACTGCCAGAAACTGCATACCTTGGGTTAGCAGCCCAGCTTGCCCCAGACTATGCCACATCCTTATGTCTTAAGGATGATTTCTTTACTCTGCTGATTCTCCAGAGGCATCTAGTAAGAGGCTGGCACCATCTAATGGTGAAACACTGCAACTTTCAAGGCCATTTCATGTCTTGTTTAAGCTTCGTAATTACTTTGTGGTACGGGTGAGGCACAGCACCTCAAATTATAAATGAGGAAAGAAGTTGAGGGGCCCAGGAGATGGGCTTCATACCGTATAACTTGTGGGTCAGGCCCCAGAACCAGATTTTTGTCCATTTCTTGGGTAGTTCATGATGTCACTTTGGCACTTGACCTTCCCACTTGTGCCACAGATGCTTCTTACTCATTGATCAACTTCTCTCCCTACTCAACTCTTTCTCTTAATCTAGATAAAATTCTTTTTCACATAACAACTATCTTGCTCACCCACCCCCAAGAGTCTGGCCAGCACTCGGTGTCCTTTCTTAGATAACCCCTGGTTGAGCAGTGACAGGCTGCAGCTGGGAAGCCCTTCAGGGCAGTGACAATGGCCCAGCGCCATCCTATATACCCTAGTGCTGGGACCATTGTGCTCTCCTGGCCTGGCCACTGCCCTCCATGCTGTCACTCTTGGCTTCCACACTGGTTTATTCTGGACAAGGCAGCTCATGCCGCTGATCAATACAGAGCACCAGTACTAACCCAGAAGTCGTGAGTGCTGAGGTTGCAAGTTGACCCAGCTGTTCTTTTCAGCTGGGCGCGTGGCCTGCCAAGGTTGAGAGAAATGGTGCCACTTCCTCCTGGTTGACCTCACAATGGATGAACATGCAGTCTTCTTTCTATTCCCTCCAGTGAGATGTGGACCATGTGGTGGGAGCTAGAGCAGCCACAGGGAGAATCCAGGTCACTGAAGGCAGAGCCACCCTTCCAGGCCTGGACCACTGGCCTCTGGGCTGTTAACATGAGAGGGAAACTCCTCTCAGTGGAGCCCTGAGGTATTTGGGTCTCTGAGCAGCTTAAACTCTAACCTAACCAATGTTCCAGATTCCATCAGCACCCATAAATCACTGTAAAAGCAAAAGGCCTCCAGAGCTGTCATAGACAAAATATCTTTGGAAGGTCTTGTTGATGTTATGGAAATAAGTCCAAGGTGGCCTGTGCATTGGCCCAGTGGTTACCTCCTCAAAACAGACTGCTCCCAGTATTTAAAAGCCTGGCAGTTTAAGTCATGTTTTTATATATCTAATTGTTTTTCAGATAGCCCACATAAACAAATTCTTAGCCTCTTGAAACTGTCCAGGTGGTCTAGTTGTTAGAAGCTGTTCTGCAATCCCAAAGGCACACAGGTTGAATCCACCAGTTATCAGCTGAAGAGAGATGGGCAGTCTCCTGTGCAATTAACTGCCTCTGGAAACCCACCGAGGGACCGCTAGGAGTTGGTTACAACTTGATGGCATGAACCAAAGCATTTATCCACATTTCATACCCTACAAAACTACATGCAAGATCTGGCTGTTGTCTGCTCACTGTCTCAGCTGACCCTCTGTTGGAGTTCTGAAGTCATAAATGCATAGGAAGAGATTGCCTGTGTTTTTCTCGAGGAACCACTGGTGGATTTGAACCACTAGACACACATGGCCTTTAGTTAACACTAGTACCTGCTACAGACCAACAGAACTCCCTTCTAGCAATGATGTGTACCATGGAGTCAGAGCTAAACTTCCTGTGGATTTTCAGTCAGTTAATCTCATGGGAGGAGAGAACCCATCTATCTCCAGCAGAATAGCCACTGAATTCAAACCCTGTTCTTTTGAGTTGGCAGTGCAGCTTCTTCCCACTGCAACTGAGATGACTCCAAGATGCATTAGTCCTCTATTGCTTTCTGACCCACAGATAACTCATGATACATACACAACATCTAGATACATGTAAGTCCCCCCTCCCTCTCCCGGGAAGGAGTGCCCTTGCTGTGTCCCCTTAGGTGCTCCCAGCATCACCTGCCCCTGGGAAACATTGCAGGAGACCCCTATTCGAGTTGGTAGTGCATCAGCCCCAATTCACAGCAATACTGTCATCTCGTGGGCTGCTTTCTCCTTGCTCAACTCATTACATTGGTAATGCTGTTCAAACAACAATCTTTACGCTAAGCACATGTAACACAGGTATTTTAGAAATGGAAGTTGATTAAATACTTCAAATACCGTCCTAAAAGATTGTTGTTAGGTGTCATAGAGTTGAGTAAGACTCATGGTGACCCTATGAACAAAAAAGATCTGAACCCTGTTCTATCCTGTGCATCCTCAAACTTAACTGATTCACAAGACCCCATTGCAGCAGTCACTATGTCAGTCCACCTGATTGACAGTCTTCCTCTCATTTGCCGACCCTCCTCCATTCCCAGCATCATGTCTCTTTCAGAAGAATAGCCCCTCCTAGCAACATACCCAAAGTAAGTGAGGTGAAGCCTCATCATTCTTGTCTCCAAAGAGCACTCTGGCTTCACCGTAAGACATATCTGTCTGTTCTCTTGGCCATCCATGGGATATTCAGTTCTCTTCTCCAGCACCGCAGCTCAAAGGTGTCAATTTTTCTGTCACCTTTATTCACTGTCCAGCTCTCAGATGCATAACAAATGGTCTGAAAGACCATGGCCTGACTCTGACACACTTTAGTCCTCAAACATTACTCCTCAATCAGTTGGAGAG